ATCTTTTATCTTTTTTACTTTAAAACTTTCACAAAACAAAAATTCATGAATAAAGTATGAAGAATTGATTTTTTAGAATTCATTTGGGTAAAATGTACATAAAAACTATTAAAAATATACTTTGAAAACTAACATTTTCAGTTTTTTTCTTTTAATTTTGTCATATTTCAGGCAAAGAAATCCAATAAATACCAATAAAAGTGACTGAAAAATTTAGAAAATAAATTAGAAGCTAAATTTGGCAAATTTCGCTTCGGCTTTTCATAGTTTCCGACTCACCCGACGATTTCCAACACGGAAAATGTCGTCCTGATGGCTTGGCCAAGAGTTGTAAGTTCTTTTGCGTGGAAGACATTCACCACATTTCATGGGAAATTTACGTGTACAATTGCAGGTGATTTCCCTTCAGTGGGTCCACAGTTTGGGGTGTGGAATGTGCTCGTTAATTGTGGGGGCGGCGGCGGTGAGTGGATAAAATTGGGAGAAAGCGCGCGCCTAAGAGAGCCGCCTTTTGTCTTGTAACATGCAGAACAGCGCACACTTCTTGTGTTGAGGGAGACGTTTGGACAATAAATACGGGAATTGTGTTCGTTCTGGCAGGATGTCGTGTATGAGCTTGATGGTGGGGAGAGACTCTGCCAGTGTCGCCTCTCACTCTCTCCCAACTTGCCAGCATCAGTGACAAACAACATGCTGAATATTAACCACCCACCCCCCTGGCATCCCTCGGAAACATATCATATCTCTTTCTCCGTCATGCTGTCGCACGGAGACCTAATCAAATTTATTACGCGGCACCCGGAATTGTCTAAGTTTTATTCACTACAACTTCGTGTCTGCAAGTGGCCAAATGGCCACTTTCAAATTACATTGACTTCCATGCACTAAAACAATCTCATTTTGAATGTTTGAAGAGGGGTAATTTTTTAAATTAGACTTTTTCAATTAGATTCACGGGTTTTCTGCCACTGCAATCTTTCCGGGGGGGGGGGGGGGGGGGGGGATGTAATTAGGCGCGGGGTGGGAAGGCGAAACACGTGGAAATGTTGATAAACTTTAAAGCCCATCTCTTGCATGAACTTTAACAGCTTTACCATATAATTAGTTGGTAATCCTCACCAGCTACCCTTCGGTATCTGATAATCCGGCCTCCGTTCGATCTCTGTCCCCGCTTCGACCCTTTTCTCCCAGGGAGAGGTCATCAGGTGTCACGCGGAGTGCATGAGAGCCGTCTGTCCGCTCCTGCAGATGGATTTAATCTCAGGGATTGAGAGATTGTTTACAAGAATGTGATCTAATTTCACCCGGGAAAAAAATCACTCTCCATCCCCTTCATTTATATTCATTATAAACAGCGCATTTCTCCCGAGTGATGCACACCCTGCGGGGCTCGGATGTGTTTCTCTCTGCATCCACAATGCCAACTTTATGCTCTCCTCCTCCTCCTCCTCCTCCTCCTCCCCTTTCGTCCTTCACTGTGTGCAGTGCTGCTGAAAAGAAGCAAAACTTTCCTCACACAAACAACAATAATGCGACACTGGGAGTGAGATCGCTTAAAAATTCTATGAATCCAACCAAACAAAATCACAATCATATACATATGCACACCGAACGCTGTAGTGCTGTTCATAAAGTGTTTGCAGCAGAAGCTGCAGCATGTCAAAGGTCGTTGCTTGGAAAACTGCATGCAGAATGTTTATCTCGTCTTGCGGGGTGGCGAAGAAGCACCCCGGGTGCACTCGGATGACTGTCTGCGGGGTGGCTGGAGCGTGGGTCGCACGAGGGTGATTGTCCTGGGACGCTCTGTGGGTGGTTATTGAAGGGGGGGCAGGAGAATGACGAGAGAGTGCACGCTAGGACGAGCGACGTATGACAAATATTGGCATTGAGGGTTGTGAAGACGAAGATGAGATTTGCAGTGTTTCACCACACCTTTCAATTCATCTGCAATAACTCAACACTTTTTACGTGTTTGTGCTGATTTTTCTAATCTCGAGAGGATTTGAAGTGCATCCTTTTCCTTGGGAAATGCAAGAGCAGAAGATTCTGTACAATTCAGCAATATCTTTTGCATGGGGTTATCAAAGGGGTGTGGAAAAATGTGAAGGAGAAGAGGTGAAAAGTATTGTATCTTCTCTGGAATCAACACATTAAATGATTGATTTTCCCTCAGTCAAAGTCACTCTCCAATAACACCAATTACGCTAATTGCAGCACACTAAACAGAACATGAAAATCCCTCGTTATTAATCCACTCTAAAGAGATTAAATTGATATGACAAATTCCCTCGAGCGACGAAATATCTATTATCTTTTGCTATGGTCATGAGGGTAAAAACTATATAGAAACTTGGCTATCACTTATTTTCTGGTCGCTTCATTCTCCGGAAAACTTTGTCGCATTCCATGCTTATGAGAATTTTGGGCGCCCGCGGCCAAATTCTATACCTGTGGAACTCTGTAGGGATGCTCAAGTAATTTTTTCGGGCTCCGCAGAGGACTTTATTGAAACAGGATGTGAGGATTGTACAGTCAACTATTGCCGGGGTGTTTGCCGACTGAGAGCACAGGATAAAATTGAAGAATGGGCCACGCGGGGAATTCCTTGTTTTTCAGCAGCAGCAGAGAGACGAAATTGCGAAGCGGCGAGGGTGAAAGGTCAGCAGGGGTGGTTTTCATTGCCAACGGCCAATGTGTATAATGATATTATTCGGGAAATTGTCATGATAGATCGACGCATGTGCCAAATTTTCCAAAAGCCACGGGGTATTTTTCATCCATGCCACCACCCCCAACCCTCCGAAGCGGCACGATATATTTTAAGAAGTAAGCAACCCCCGGCGCCCACATAACTTACACAAGCTCCAGTGTGTGCTATTTTGTAATGAAATTTCATGGGGTGCAGGGGAAAAGAGTCATTCAACTCATTTTCCTCGTACATATGCTCCCTTTTCACTTGAATTTAATTTGATTAAATTTTTTCCCCTCCCGAGACGGCAGGTACATGTGATTCCCGATCCTCTTGTGAGCAGGGGGCTGCTCTCGGGCAATCAATGGGGTTGGTGGCATTAAATTTTTGGCGCTAAAATTGTCTCTCTTTCTCTCTCTCTCTACCCCGAAATTATGGGGGCTGATTTGCTTCGTTGGCCCTTTTTTATTATTATCAAATTATACACTCGCCCAGCGTCATCTCACGATAAACCCTCCCTCCCCCCGCGGCTATATATAATTGCTGGAGAATTTTCACATTTTATGGGGTTTGCGGGGGGCGCGTAAATTCATATCAGACCGGCACAGCAATAAAATTTTATTTTCTATATTTTCTCCACACGCAGCAATGTGAAATGGTTTCAATCATAACGCTTGATAGCGTACTGCAATTACAACACAAATCAAATTTGCTCCTTCTCACGACCACCCGACGATGGCCTACGCCACTTCTCCTGCAGGGGCAGTCAGGGTTCCGCCACTCGCGTCAACTTCGCACCCCGGCGCGCACACTCGGCGGCACTCGGGCGTCATCAGCGACACGAGAGGGGTTGATGATGGTTCACAGTCTCTCTCTCTGCCAAAGGCAACCCTCTCGCCTCTTGTGATTTGCCTAAACTCCGGCGGAATGCCAGGCCAAATGCACCTCCAGAGTGAGAATCTTTCGGGTCAAGCATCCCGTCTCTCGCGGTCTGCAAGACATCCATCCAGAGAGAGTGAGAGAGAGAGAGCGCGCGAGAGAGAGATTTGGCACACAGTTCCCCAATGATGATGACGATGAGAGCGAGACAGTAACATAGTAACGAAAATAAGGGGGCAACGTACGTGAATATAAAAGAGAACACTCAGTCAATGGAATACTGCTTTGGCAGACGGTTCTGGACCCGTTAAAAGTCACATCGCGCTCCATTTGGGAGACACTCTTGCGCTGTCTTCAGTGTCTGTGACATCTGAGATATCGTGACAACTGTGCCGTGAATCCTCGCGTCGTGACTTCACGCGTTGCATCCGTTGGCGATTGAGCACCAACTGTCTCAGTGCACTTGTTTCCAACGGGTGTTTTTGTGGTTAAACCCGATTCAATTGCGAACAAGCTTTCCCGTGTGACCTTTTCACGCCCAAAGTGATGTCCTTTGAGGGTGTTTGGACAGTATCGTGTGCGGAAATCTCACAACTGACCACCATTCATTGTGCATTGCCGAGGAACAAGTAGAGGCGAGTGTGTTTTGTGTGAGAATTGGCAAAGGAGAAAAACATCTGACAGAGCAAAGACGTGACAGCTGAAACGTCACATGCGTGCTATAAATGTTGAACTGTGTGAAAATTGGTGGCTTTCGTAACGGACTTCAACCTCGTCAGGGTTGATTGTTTTTCGAGGGTGAATAGGAAGAAAATGTGGAGACTTGAGACTCACGAGTGACCTAGAAAAAACTATCAAGACGTCGGCAAAATCAGGCAATAGAGCGGTGCGAAATCTTGCTGAAACCAAGAGATGAAAGCAGTGTGATGAACCCACAAATCTGGGTCGCACAAGAAGAGAGACACAACAAGCATAACTTTGAGGAGAATTTGATTAGATTGTGAAGCTTGGAAAGTTGGGCCATTGGGCGACCCAAAGTGAAAATCCAAGTCACATCTCTGGTGCCATTATTAGTTTCAATCTCCACAACGGATGACTTCTTAGCAATTGAGACACGACAATACATATAGTCCCTTGCTGGCCGTTGCTTTGGTCGGTGTGTGAGAGGCCACCCTATAAATTGAAGTGGTGTCATTCAGTCCCTCGGACATCCCCAGTTGTGTGGCTGAATTGAGAGACAAGTTTCCCTGGGAAAATTGGAGCAGTTTTGTGGTGAAGTGTGGGACTGTACAGTGTGGACTGTAATTGTTAAAATCGATCCAAGAGTGCTGGAGCGCCAGGAAAACTGTCGTCGTCTGGCGAGTTTTGGCGTCAACGCACTTCTTGTTGCGACAATTTACATGTAATTGGGAATTCTATCGACTCACCACACCAGAATAGCAAGTGCACACCATCGGCTGAGAGAGCCATCCAACTGTGCATCGATAAATTATCTCGCGGGGACAGACTCCGTTAAAACGGGTTTTGCGCCGGCGAGAGAGATATAGCAAATTGCCTTTTTGCTCACCCCCCGAAATTGCCGCAAATTAGCCCCGCTCAAGTGTTGTGGACTTGAAGAGAGTCTCAGAAGCCACTCTGCATTAATAATAGAGGCAAACACGACAACTTAAAGAGTCACTGAAGGAGTTTAGAGGGGAGAGAGAAAAGCATGAGATGTCGAGTGGCAATCAGCTGCATTTCCCACGATTGTGAGCAGAGTGATTAGACAATTGTTACGCAAAAAGGAAAAGAGAGGATCAAGGACAATCCCCAAGATGCCCATCACAATGTCACCGCAGCACTTTTTGGGCTTCATCATCGCCTTCACGTGCGTCCTGTGCTACCACAACAGTCTCAACTGTAGCTTTGTGTTTGACGACATCAGTGCCATCAAGGAGAACAAGGACCTTCGTCCGCACACACCGTGGAAGAATATCTTCTTCAATGACTTCTGGGGCACTCCGATGCAAAAGGTACGGCCCTTCCGCAGCTCCAAGAGAGCATCCCTCATATATATAACCCAGTGACAGAGTACACAAAACTCTCTGTCCAAATACGCTGTGTTTGTTTTCAACCCTTCGCTACCCACGTTCGCCACTTTTAGCCGGCTATTTGGGGCGAACTCGCGTGGGCGGCGCGGAAATAGAGCAATGTCGATATTAATGAATAGAGAGAGAGAGTGTTGTTTTGCTGCTTCGTGAACAAGTCTGGGAATGAATATTGAAAAGCAACACCAAAAACTCACTCAGATTTATAAGATAAGATTTCGATGGGCGCTTAATAGAGCGAAGAAGCAAATCTACTGAAGTATTTCTTCCAATTGGAACATTATAGAGAGCAACAACATATTTATGTCTATTTCTCCATTCACACTCAATGTTTGATTAAATACGAGCACTCAGCCAACTCTCTTCGGCTCTTCACACTTTTTCCCATATGTAGAGAAATCAAATCGAACGCATGTGACGAAAAAATTCCGCCCCACTTTGGAAAGATATCGAGATTTGTTTGTGCTAGAATCGGATTGTCGCAGAAAAATAAATCGTAAATCAACTTCTGCAGCGCAGAGTTTAGGGCGCGGATGACGGGGGTGGAGGGGGTGGGAAATGGGGGGAAAGTAAATAGAGGAAGATGGTTGGAGAGACACTATTTTTGTTGTTGGAAGAAAAATATGCATGCGAAATAAGCCCTCCCATCACCTTCAGGGGTGTGTGTGGCAGAGCACAGAAGTCCTCTCCACCTCTCCAACCCTTGGCGAGAGAGAGAGCACAATTTATGAGATATCCCGACAGTACAGCGTGGAATTATAAAAGGTGTGTGTTTATGCCATGGTATCGCATTCAAATAAATCACAATTCAGCATTGGGGACTTCTCGGGTGGAGATTACACAAGGAGAATTGGTGGAAAAATTGAGGAATACAAAGTGGATTCCATGGTGAAGTGTGGCGTGTGTGAGGTGCTTTTCGGGGGGGGGATAAAAACACCCTCCTTCGGGGGAGCTTCTGTGTTGAGGAGTTTGCGACGTGCTAGTTTTAGAGATTTTCGCCACATATTGCTGAAAGTGGAGAAAAGTGAAAAATTCCTATCAGTTTCGGAGCTATTTGCTCTATGTATTTCCACCCCCAAAATTACCGCAAATAAAATTCACTGTGAAGTCAAAATTCCACGGCGCGGAAGAAGTATTTAATGGGAGGGTGAAACACACCCTCTCTCATTCGGAAGGAGCGCGCGAGAAAATGTAAATGTTTTGGAAGAGGACAAAGTGTAATGATAATTGTGTATAGTGTTAGTTTTCTTTCTCTTGGCGCCTAACTTGTGTCTCTATTTAACTTTAATCTCCCCCAATCTCCAACCCCAAGCGCCGGGCCCACGATGCGTTGCTGTGTCGTCATGTGGGGGACATTTAGCGGAATAGTAGGTGTATTAAAGTGAGATTTCCTTGGATCGTGTGATGGTGTGCCATTATTCACTTTGGTGCCATTTGGCGCCTTGTTTAATGCCATCAATAAGTTAATGAAGTTGAGCTGGGGGTTGGGGGTGCGATTCAGACGTAGAAATGACGACCTTCTGCCCTTCACTACATTATCGCTTCGGCGAGCAAATTGAGGCGAGAGCGAGAGACGTTTCGGGGGTAGTTTGTGAGAAATAAAAATTCAATAATCACATTTTGACACGACATTTATCTCTTTTGATTGCTCCCGAGCCGCCGCAGCCAGTCAGTCATTCAGTCACCCAAGCATACACTCTCTTGTGGGGCTCCTCGAACAATGGCGCGCATACCCACAATAATGTCCCAGTATCACGTACCACGCACATAGTTACCGACCCTCCTCTGGGTACATTGTACTGCCGACATTGGGTGGGGGGGGGGGGGAGTTGGGGCCCGGAGTGAGACAAGAAAATATAATGCGTGTGTCGTATTATTAAAAGGTTGAAAAAAGAGAGAGAGCGAGGCTGGTGTGCCAAAAGTAAAACTTCCCTCCGCATGCGACACGGAGGGTGGCCTGGCAGACTCTTGAGCATGCAACAGTGACAGGGGTGAAGTGGCAGGACACACCATCAGGAGTGTAGCAATATTTGCTTGGAGGAGAGCACTCTTGACGGAGGCAAAAACTCGTTAACAAAACGTAATGATCCGAAGAGGAACACACAAGACTTTGTGCGTGTACGCGCCGAAAAAAAAACATCTTGCCCACCCGTTTCACCCCCGCACGTGGGAACCCCTTCACGCTAGGGTGGCGAAGACGCTGGCATCTCACGAGAGAGGGTGTGTGCGTGGTAAGAAATGGGGACAACAACCTATCATCATCATTACAAGTCGCTTCCGAGGCGAAAAGAAACTCACAGAGGCTAACAAGAAAATTACACCAAGCTCGAGGAAGCTTGCACAAGAATGATTCGCAGTTGTGTGGAAGCTCAGTAGTTAGTAATGGATTAGAATTTAAATTGCAATGAAGCTCTTTTGCTGTGAATTCAGTCAAAACATGAGCAGCGAAAGTCAATTTGAAAGGAAAGCATGGATCCTTTGGGAGGTGGCAGAGTGAAAATCCCGGATGAAATCCTGGGAGACTCTCTAGAAAATTGTTTGCTCTTTTAAAATGCAGCTGAAAGAGCAGCGAGAATTTTACAATTATGACCAAAGGAGAATAACAAGCTCATAACTATGATGAGTGAATCACTGCGGCATTTACAGTGACTCCAAATTAAATAGAACCACCAGAGTCAAATTAAATAGAACCACCAATCTTCCCTCATTAATAAGTAATCATTATGCCAAGTTTGGAGACATTCAGCCTAATCCTTAATCCGTTTGTGATACTAAAGCACAAATGAAGCAGTAACATTTGAATTCTTGGCTTTTAAATATGTTTTGGGTTCTCAAAAAGACTTAAATGAACCCGAGGTGTCTTCAGAATATTTGTCCTGTCGATTTTCATTTTTTATCTGGACTTTTTAGGTGTTTTATATATAAAAATTTGATTAAGTTATTGTGCGTGAACAACACGAGACTTCAGAGGATCTTACGAAGATTTTTCGACTGCGTAAGAAAGGACATTTAATCAGGAGAATAACCAGAAGGTGTTCTTCTTCCAGCAAGAGAGTTTCGACAGATTTTTCAAAGGTTTAAAGCACATTCCATCATGTCTGCTTCTAAGATCCATTGAGAATTGTTCCCTAAGATCTCTTCAATCTCTAATAAAACCATAAGAAAGAAAAGGGCAATTAAAATTTTAGTTTTTGTCTCTCTGTTGCTTGACATTTTCTGAACTTCTCCACAAAGAAGTTATATGCAATAAGCATAACTCCTGCCACAATAGCCATAACTTAAATGATCTCTAACAAGTCGCTTTCAGCACTCAATTCAACTCATGGGAATTAAATCCGTACAAGTTTCAATTGCACATTTCCATCGTCAGATGAAATGAAAACCATCCGCAGAGAGAGTTGAAAAAGGGGTGAAAAAGCACAAATCCTGCGAATAATATCACGGAAATTGTTACTTGCTCTCTCTTCTCTTCTCTCTCTCTCTCTCACACTTTCAATAAATTTATAACGAGATAAATTTCAAAAGCAGCTCAAGTAGTGGTGGAATTACTTCACGTTGGACGGAAATAGAATTGAACGACACCAATTTTCTTTCTCGTTACCCCAGCGATTTTTTCCTTATATTTTCCCCATGAAATGTCGTGAAAATTTGATGAATCCATTTTCGCAACTACTAAAAAGTCCATCAGAACCTTCTCTCCCTTTCTCCCTTCCCCCCCCCCCCCAAACCATGGCAGCCAAGTCACGGCTTCGACATTTCCCATTCGTCCTCCGCTTTTTGCCACGGCGTTCCGCCACTGTTTCCCGGCGAAAAACCCCTTCCCACCACCCGTGCGAAATTCCCGCAATCACTTTTCCCACGGCGAATGCAAGTCTTCAGATCGATTGGGGCGCTCAATATAGGCCGCCGCCACCCGGAATGCCGTAGCACTTTGTAGGGGAATGTAAAAATCGGGTGATGGAAAAAGAATCAATTTTTCATTTTTATGCCAACGTTGCCCTCAAGCTTTCCCTCCTCGGCTTGCGCCCTTGTACAAGAAAATCTCAGACACATTGACATCTGTAAGGAGTAAAAAGCGCCTTGATTTGTGGCATTTCTATCCAACAATTCCACCAGGGAGAACTTTTTTAATAAAATATGTTATTATTACTTATAAAACTTTCATATCTTGTGGTGCACACGGGTGAGGGTTGAAGAAGAGAAGAAAAAAACACAGCGACCGAGGATTTTCCCACTCACTTTCAAAACGCTTTGATAAATTTCCGCTTGAAAGTTAATTTTGGGAAATGGGGGATGGGGTGAGAAATAAAAAACGAGTTGAGTGAATAAAGCGACAGGAAGGAACTGTCTGCAAATGAGTTTGGAATTGTTTTTTGCGGTATAAACTGTCGGCAACAGAGAAGAAAATTGATTCATACTTCTTCTTATTCATATTTCGATGAAATTTTTTAAATTGATAGTCAATTTTACTATTTGCACACTGAGTTATGGTTGTTGAAATTCATCAGCTAATTAAGTTTGGCTGTTGAGATTCAAAGAGAAAACAAATTGATAGACACGAAATCGGTTGAAAAGTACCAAAATAAACCTCTCTATTGGGATAAATTGAGTGGAATCGATATAAAGTTGAGGCTTTTTATGGAACACCGAACGGATGGAATGAAAATAGATAGAAATTGTATATTGTTGAGGTTGAAAATAAAAGAGGCAAAATAGACATGTATTTTTTGTGTGTTTGAAAAAAAAATACATATATTGTGGAAAGAGGAAAAATCCGTGGAAAGATAGAGCTTTTAATCGATTTTCCTCTTCAGCAATATTGTGTCAAATGAGTGACATCCACCCTGGATTTCAATTCTCGGTGCGGAACATAAATTCCGATGATATTCCAAATATAAACACAATTATTTGTTTTGCACTCTGCA